AAAAAAAAAAAAAGTTAAGCCATCTTGAGAACTCTATCCTCAAGCCTGATGGCCAACCCAGTGCTACATGAAGATAAGACAGCACAATCAAATAATTATCAGTTGTTTATTAAACCACTAGGTTTTGAGATGCTTTATTATGCAGCAAAAGACACGTTAAAAAAAAAAAAAACCAACAATTCCCTTACTTTGACCTCAGTGGTAAAATTTGTACTGTGATTTTACATTGACATTCAAATCCTTAAGGACTGGATGACAGGGCAGAGAGAAAAGATCCTGAGAAAGAAAAGTGTTGAACTTGGACACTTAGATTTATGCCTTAGGGCTAATCAAGTCACTTAGAACTTCTCTGAGCCCGTTTCTTATCTGCAAAATACCAACAATAATTTCCCTATCTGCCTCATGACACTGTTGTGAAGGTCAAGAAAGATAACATGTTCAAGCACTTTAAAATATAAAAGGCCATAAAGACATAAGATATGTTTACTATATGTTGTCATTGCACAATGTTCTCTTAACTTTGTCATTAAACCTCCTGTAATTTCTGAAGTATCAGATGCTTTTTTAAAGATAAGGAGATTAAACTGTTCTGCTCCCATCTTCTTGTTAAAAATCATCACAAAACTGGAAGAACAAGAAATAAAATGGCTTGGTGCTCATAGCTCAGGGGTTAGGGCGCCAGCCATATACACCCCGGCTAGCAGGTTCAATCCCGGCCCGGGCTGCTAAATAATGACAACTACAACAAAAAAATAGCTGGGCACTGTGGTGGGCACTTGTAGTCCCAGCTACTTGGAAGGCTGAGGCAAGAGAATCGCTTAAGCCCAAAAGTTTGAGGTTGCTGTGAGCTGTGACGCCATGGCACTCTACCAAGGGTAACATAGTGACACTCTGTCTCAAAAAAACAAATAAAGAAATAAAAGAACAAATCTCCATTTTTTATTAATCAGAAGATACCTGTAATCCTAAACACAACTAATGAAAGTAAAAAACATACACAGATGGTGCCCAAAAAAATGCATAAATATTTTAAGCAATGTTATCTAAGTATCATTTTTCAAAGTTAAATTGAAGGTACTGTTACGGGTCAAGCTACCTATACCTGCTATGCACGTCCATTTTGCCTGCAATTCATATACCTTTCGGAAATGACTGATTTTACTTCCAACAAGATCTCTTAAAATGGGTGTACTTTTTTTGGCACAAACCTCCCCCCCATAAGGATAGTGTTATAAGTTGAGTTATGGCCCACCTAAAAGATAATTTGAAGTAATCTCAACACCTCAAAATGTAACGTTTGGAAACTGGGTCTTTACAGAGGGTAATCAAGTTAAAATGGGGTTATTAGGGTAATTCTAACATCCTTATAAAAAGGGGAAATTTAGACACAGAGACAGACTCATACAGAAGGAGTGCCAAGGACAACATCTGATGTGCAGGAAGACGGTTATGGGACTGAAGTACTACATCTGTAAGTCAAGGAATCCCAAAGATTGCTGGCAAACACCAGAAGCTAGGAAAGATTCTCCGCTAGAGCAGTCTAAGAGCGTGTGGCCCTGATGACACCCCGACCCCATACTTCTAGTCTCCAGAATTATGAGACTATACATTTCTTTACTTCAAAATCATTATGGGGGAACAAATATTTTTGGTTACATGGATCACATTTATAATGCTGAGTCATAGTTTTAAGAGTGCACATCGCCCCTTATAGTGTTCACTGTACCCGTTAGGTAGGTTTTCACCCATCCCCTCCTCTCCCAGACTATTAATTTTTATTGTTTTAAGTCACATAGTTTCTGGTATTTTGTTCAAAAGCCCTAGGAAACTACTAGAGATAGTAAATAACTTAGAGTTAGGAAAAGATATCTATGTGCTTAAGGAGTGGGATTCAATGAAAATAAAGCAGATTCACTGTATGAAAACTTGGAAAGGGTTAAACACTAGAGTTTTAAATAGGAGTTTTTGAAAAAGAAAACTAAGAAAATGCTTAAGAAGAAAGAATCACAGAACCAAAGAACATGATTCTTTAAAGCATCTATCAAGGCTTGGTGTCTATAGCTCAGAGGCTAGGGTGCCAGCCACATACATAGGAGGCCTACCAAATCAAGCCACAATCCAGCCCTGGCCTGCCAAACAACAAGGACAACTACAACCAAAAAATAGCTGGGTGTTGTGGCGGGCGCCTGTAATCCCAGCTACTTAGGAGGCTAAGGCAAGAGAATCGTTTAAGCCCAAGAGTTTGAGGTTGCTGTGAGCTATGATGCCATAGCACTTTACCCAGGGCAACAGCTTGAGACTCTGTCTCAAAAAAAACAAAGTATCTACCAAACAGCACAATTCATGGGAAAAAAGGCTCATACCAAGGCACAAAGAAATCTCTTAATGCACTCAAAAGAAAGAAAAGGTCTTAAAAGCTTCCAGAGGAGGATATACCCCCTCCTCCCCCCAAAAAAGAAAGAAACAGCATTCATCACAAGGAAAGGAAGTGGGTAACTGGATGATAGGAGGGGAAAACAGATTTTTCACTGGTGTCTTCTTGTACTTTTTGGATTATTATCAATCTCTCCCTCTAATATAGGTTTTTAATTTTTTAATTCTTTTTTTCTTTTCTTTTTTATTTTTTTTGAGACAGAGCCTCAAGCTGTCATCCTGGGTAGAGTACCATGGCATCACAGCTCACAGCAACCTCCAACTCCTGGGCTCAAGTGAGTCTCCTGCCTCAGCCTCCCAAGTAGCTAGGACTACAGGTACCTGACACAACGCCTGGCTATTTTCTGGTTGCAGCCATCATTGTTGTTTGGTGGGCCTGGGCTGGATTCGAACCTGCAACCTTAAGTGTATGTGGTTGGCTCCTTAGCCACTTGAGCCATAGGCATCGAGCCAATTTTTGAATTCTTATTTATTCATTTATTTATTTATTCAAGACATAGTCACTTTCTTGCCCTTGGTAAAGTACTGTAGTATCATAGCTCACAGCAACCTCAAACTCAGGCTCAAGTTTGATTCTCTTGCCTCAGGCTGCTGAGTAGCTGGGACTACAGACGCCCGTCACAACACCTGGCTATTTTTAGGGACACCCAGTCTGGCTCTCGCTCAGGCTGGTCTCAAACTCCTGAGCTCAGGCTATCAACCTGTCTTGGCCTCCCAGAGTGCTAGGATTACAGGCGTGAGTCACCATGCCCAGCCCTATTTACTTATTTAGATACAGAGTCTCACTCTGGGTGCTATGGCATCAGCCTGGCTCACAGCAACCTCAAGCTCCTGGGGAGCAGGAATTATTAGCCCAAATTTGTCAGAACGTAAAATCAACAGATTAATCCCTTATATGCGTATGCACTAATAAGTTGCATTTTTCACCACCATCATTTGCAAAAGCCAAAAAAACCAACATTCAAGTTGTAAACGAACTTTTCTAGGGACATACTGGAAATGATAAAATGTATCTCAGCATGTGCTGAAAGCATTAAAATCATTCATTACTCCAGAAAAAGAAAGCATTCTTTACCTTACCTAAAGGACATGGCCAAGTGAGTGTTTAAACACTTAATACTATAGCTCTGTATCAGTATTATTAACCCCTGAGTAAAAATGTAAAAAAAGTACACCTGGCCAAACATAGCTACACTTACCAATTTCCTGCCGAGTGCTGCACACTCCGACTCCATACTCCTCTAGGACTTTGGCAGCTGCCTCTTGACATGACCCAGTATTCCGTGCAAATCCAAGGTAGTTGTAGGAACCCATGTTTATAACATCTTTAATTATATTCCCTGTATACCTATGTTACAAAAGCATAAAAATTAATGAAACTCATGGGTAAAAAAATGGCTAAATATGATAGCAAATGCACTGGTAACACAACAAGAAGCATCACATACAGGAATTAGAGAACAAAGTACAAAATCTATATGAAAAGAATCTCAAACTCAATACCAATTAGGGAAGTGAAAGTTAAAACAAAATGTCAATTTTCATTTATTAATAGTGATAAAGATTTAAAAACTGATTATATCAAGTGTTCACCAGTATGGCCTCATATACCATAGATAAGAATATTAATCACACCAGTTACAGTCTGTTTCAAGAATCTGTGAGCATTTAAGTTGGGTGCATAAATATTTAGAAATGAAATGTCTTCTTGTTGTATTTTTCCCTTGACCAATATGAAGTG